GTCTGCCAAAGGAAACAGACATATAAATCACTAAATTTGTATACATCGTATTAAGCCTAATAATCAAAGTATGCTCAAGTTCTGAAAGTAGGGAGAGAGTAACGCAGTCACAGAGAGAAAGATGGTGATGGAAATCCTAGAGTAAGTGATGATTAATTTAACTGTTGACAGACACATGTGGGTTTCCTGGTTATAAGGAAGGGGCAGAGGAATGATATTCCTGGGAGAGGTCACTGCATGTACAAAGGCTCAGAGGAATGAAACAACATCAGGGGGGTGGGTCTAGGGAACTAGAAGTAGATTGGTTTGGCTGGTGTGTGAAGTTCAAGGGGAAGAGAGGCCCGGAGCTGAGGGGAGCACATGATAACGGGTTTTGCATGCCCTGCCTCGGGCCTAGGCTCTATTCCAGCAGAGAGTGAAAGGTTTTAACAAGGGAAAGTTGTGATCAGACTTGTCACTGGTGGCCACACAGAGATAGATTGGGAAGAAGAGAAGGCAAGAGGCTAGAATTTCAATCAAAAGTCCTTGCGTCCATTGCGAGAGCCAGCATTAAGGCGATGGCAGAGGGAGTAGAAAAGAAAGGCCCAATTTAAGAGATAGAAACAGCAAAGCCCAGTGACCAATTGGTTATAGCATATGAGAGGGAAGGAGGAGTCTGGGAGGCTGGGAGTGTGTTCCCATCATTATGATTAGGGAATACTGTGATGAGATCACTTTGACATAATGAGGTGAAGGGCCTGGGAGATACGATGGAAATCTCCAGAGAGAAGGTGGATATATGGGTCTGTGAATTAGCAGATTTGGTGGGGGCATTAGCCTATTATCTATAGATTTGGTCAATAACATATAGAGGGCATTCAAAATGCAGGAACTCATCCGACTATTGAGGGAAAAGATTTAAAGAGAAAGATAGCCAAGGACAGAATCCTCAGGAACATTGAGCTCTAAGGGGAGGATCCAGGAAAGCAGCCAATAACCAACCCCATGGATATGCAGTCAGAGAGGGGAGACAAGGATCAGGAGGAAGAGTTGCCTCCACAGTCAGGGAGGATGGAGGGGTGATCAAAGGTAGCAAAAGCCATGATGATCAAGTGAGATGATGACTTAAGACACTTAGGAGAGCTGGGTTATTTAGAGGTCATTGTTGACCATAGAGAGGGCAGTTTTTATGATATGGAAGTAGGGGTGGGAGGGGCAGAAATCAGATTATGGTGGTTTGATAAGTGGATAGGAGGTAAGGAAGTATAGACACAGGCATAGACTCCTCTTTCAATAAGCTTGACTATGAACACCCAAATCTCTCTTCTCCTTGTAAGGCATGGTCATGCCCAACTATCCTGTGCCCTGGAGTAGAGGGAGGCAGATATTGAAGCAGGTGAGTGTTTAGAGCTAAGAGAGAAGTGGGAAAGTGACCCCAGGAAGCCAGATAAGGGAGGCCTGGCTGTTTGATGAGGTCTTGGGACTGATGGAATAGAAGTAGGCAGTGTAAGAACTAAGAGATGAGCAGGTGATGGTTTCATGTATGTAGAGACTTCACACAGAGAGTGCTTCCAGGTGATCAAGTCTGGCACCTGGGAATGGAAACGTCCAAGGATGGAGTAAAAGATGCAGACATTGGAAACTGAGGCAGTTCAGGTTCTGGAAAGCTACAGTGTGGGTGGACTCTTCATTGTGGGCACTGAGGTCATCCAGTTGGTGGATAACATTGGATTCAAGGAAAAGAATGTGCCTGAGTCCTCGTCATCCAGTTGGTGGATAACATTGGATTCAAGGAAAATGTGCCTGAGTCCTTGGTGAACATGGAGGAGTGTTCACTAGGTAATAGTCATCAATAAGAAAAGTGGACAGACAAGTGAGGAGTGAGGTTTGCTCAAAAGTAATGGACAATGGGAAGAATATCTTCAATTCCACCCAAACCTGCCATGCCTTTGGGAGGGCTGCAAAGGTCATGGTATCCTAACGGTAGGGACAGGAAGCGGAAAGTGCCATTTCAGTGAAGCACATAAGGAGAGATCATTTTTAGCATATATATGTGAAAATTATAAGTTTCCAGAAACTAATGATCCATTTTATTTTCTGCTAAGACTATTGAATTAAGGGTTTCCAGGGAATCACAGAAGACAGTGAGCTGACTGAGTAGTATTTAATATGATCAGGTCTTAAATAAGAAGCTACGAACATAAACATTTAAAACCAAATATATAATAAATAATCATTAAATTATAAAGTACATAGTTCATATTAAAACTAAATTCTCAGATGCAAATGTCAATACAACAGAGCAATATATAGATAATAATGCTACAATTCTCCGCAAGGGTCCAAAAAAAGACACTTTCAGCTAAAGGAGTGGAAATCATGACTCATTTCCCTGAACTCCCAGGACCTACAGCAATGCTTTTCTTTCTTCCTCTTTTAATTTTTTAAAAACATTTTTCTTGTCCCCCCACCCAGTGAGTGTTGCTACAAATCCTATTGAAATAACGTTGATCAACTGAACATCAGATTCAGTAGAAAGTTTGACTCAGAAGTATGGTCAAATGTTCCTCTAAGAGTATTCAGAATTTTAGGAACTCAGGCACATAAAGCTCTAAAAATAGAGGCAGAATAGACCTTGGACATTGTCCAACAGCCTTATTCTACAGATAGGAAATAGAAATCCAAAAAATTTAAGCAAGTGACATAGCCAGCAAGAGTTTGGGCCTCCTGTGTCACCATTGGAGGTGAACAGTAATGGTGTGGGCCAGCCGCAGTGGCTTTAGAGGGCTGGCTAAGTCTGGAGCACAGAGCGGGCAGGGCTCACTTCTTCGTCCTCTTTATTCCGATGCATTGCTGTTACTTGGGATGTTGTGAGGATCCTGCCCGAGTCTCTGAACTCAGGTTCATGAAGGCTCTTGGCCAACAGCCCACTAAATTATTTTTACTTTGAAGGTAAAAATCTCTGGTCAAAAGGACTAGAACAGAGACTTATTAACAGTAAACACACCAAAATAAATACATTATTTTAAATATAAAATCACAGTGTCAAAGAAGTAAAAAATTAGAAAGCCAGAAACAAGAAAAAAGATCCCCTCTTCGCAGGTCAACTTTGAGCCTGTTTTCCAGTTTCACCCGACCTGGCACCCAGCCTGGCACTGCTTCACACCGAGGCAGGCGTTAGATGCACAGCCTCATTCTTCTGCACGTATCTACAGGATTCCTTTGCAATAACATCTTCAAGTTTAAAACAGAGTACTCATTCCTGACGGTCAAACATTTCATGGCGACCTGATGATATAAATGGTTCCTAACATATCTTTTAGAACTATAAAAGTACTTGTTTCTAAGACACTTTTAAGTAGATAATGTTTTTTCTTAGAGGATAAAGCATTTCCCATACAACATCCCCTTGTGTACTCACAGCCATTTTAACAACAAGGTTCTCAAATAGCTTATAACATCCCAGTGAAAATTTATTTTTCTAGAGTTTCTAACCTTCGACCTAAATGAACTGCTGGAGCAGAAATAGCACTTGGAGCAGGTCACCTGTTTTTGCTACATGGTTGGAAGACTGGTATGTTTATGCTCAAGTCTGCATTCTGTGCAGACAGGAGTCCCAGGCTCTTGATTTGTAGCCTGATTTTGATTTTCTACAGGTGACAATTTGCCTTTTGGAAAGCATGCAGACACAAATTGTCATTTTTAAAAAAAGAAAATAAGAAAAGGAAGGAAGGAAGGAAGGAAGGAAGGAAGGAAAAGAAAGAAAGAAAGAAAGAAAGAAAGAAAGAAAGAAAGAAAGAGAAAGAAAGAAAGAAAGAAAGAAAGAAAGAAAGAAGAAAGAGAGAGAGAGAGAGAGAGAGAGAAAGAAAGAAAGAAAGAAAGAAAGAAAGAAAGAAGAAAGAGAGAGAGAGAGAGAGAGAGAGAAAGAAAGAAAGAAAGAAAGAAAGAAAGAAAGAAGAAAGAGAGAGAGAGAGAGAGAGAGAGAAAGAAAGAAAGAAAGAAAGAAAGAAAGAAAGAAGAAAGAGAGAGAGAGAGAGAGAGAGAGAAAGAAAGAAAGAAAGAAAGAAAGAAAGAAAGGAAGGAAGAAAGAAAGAAGGAAAGGAAGAAAGAAGGATATGGGCATTTGAAGTTATTAGCTCACTACAATCATTGTAATGATTTCAGGGGAGAGCCAGCCACAGGATTTTAAAAATTCTATCTGGTTCCAGAAGACCATCTGAAAGATGTCCCTCTGTAGGTTTTAATTGCCATTTTCATAAGCTCAGTGTTAGTTCATAAAGGGACTTAAGCTGGGAAGGTACAATTACACCCACTTAAAGAAAAAAAGACTGAGTCTATTTTATAAATATATTCATATCTATTGTATTTAAATATTTGATAAATCCCAATGAGGAAGTAAGACTTTTGTGTAGGCATCTGCTAAAGATATCCTTCTGGTACATAAATAAATTATATATTTATATGTTAGACATTCTGAGATAAAAAGTAAACTTTTCAGCTATACATTTTTAGACACTCATTTTTCATTTCATTAAATTACTAGAGACTTCAGCTTTCCATTTTGACCCTATGCTTCTTATATTTTTAGCTTGAATTACAGTGTATCAGTTTTAACTTATGATTATCAGAGACCTCATTCTTGTGGTAATCAAGATCAAAGTTAATACAAGATAAATATATTCCCAAACTATATTTTCAGTTAAGAATTTTAGCTTCTCCCCAACCAAGAAATGTGATAGTTGGGCAGGTAAGTAAAAATTTTAGAAGTCATCAAAATCCATAACATAGGAAATCAATAGATAGTTTTTTCAAGTTGGGTAAACACAGACCAGGTGGATTAAACTGAAGTATTGCATAGCAACATGGGGGAAATAATCCGGACTTTGAACAGAGTTTACCCTCTTCACTAATATATTGTATTCCTGTTGGGAATACCCAGAAGTGAGTGTCCCTGCTGTGTTAGAGTACGTCACATAGTGTCAGCTGCAGCGAGGCTCCAGGAACCTTCCACTCCACATGCTCTAGGAGAGGTGCTGGTGGATCATCTGTGGAGACAGCACACCATGAGTAACCCCGCACAGGATGCCATCCGGATACAATTGAGGTAGGAAATCTAACATAACTTAAGTGGTACCTTTTGGATGAGTGATTTCAGTCTTTCTAGGAATTCTTTGGGTGGTTTTTTCTCGTAAGAATCACATGAAGGGCACACCTAGAAATCAATGAAAAAGTAACATTCTTCTTTAAAACTTTTTTCCCATTGAATAAAACATTCATTTAAAATTTGTTTTTTCCAATTAGAGACATAAATCATGTTCACTGAAACATTGGGAAATGCATAAAATTGTTCAGAAAATAATAATGGGGAAAATCACTTACTATAATCCCACCTTCAGAGATAACCACAGCCATGTTTTGATACATACCCTTCCGTTTATTTTTTTTCTTTGCATTTCTATACACTGGTAATTTGCTTTTTATATATTTAAGATAACATGAGCATTTCTTCTGTGTTAAATATTCTTCAGTGTTGCCCTAGCTGGTTTGGCTCAGTGCATAGAGCTTTGACCTGCGGACTGAAGGGTCCCAGGTTTGATTCCGGTCAAGGACACATGTCTGGATTGCAGGCTTGATCCCCAGTAGGGGGTGTGCAGGAGGCAGCCAATCGGTGATTCTCTCTCATCATTGATGTTTCTATCTCTCTCTCCCTTCCTCTCTGAAATCAATAAAAATATATTAAAAAATATTCTTTAATGTTCAAATATGGTACACAATGGTAGCTTTGTATTCCAACATAGGATTGAACTGTTACTATTTTGAAACACATAGATTGCTTCTAACATTTTGCTATTTTATAAAGTGCTTCAAAGAACATCTCTGAATAGTTTTTCATATACATCTTTATATATTTTATTTGTTAAATTTCTAGAAGTAGAATTACTAAATTAAAGGGATGAAAAATTTTAAGGCTTTTAATGTACATTGTAAAAAGTTTTATTTCTATTCACATAGAGAATTTTTACCATTATCGAGTTAAAAGTTTTTATTGATAAAAAATAGAATTTCCTTGCTTTAATTCCCACTTATTTGATTACAGGGAAGTGAAGAATTTTTCATATGGGTATTATTCACATATTTCTTTTTTGAAAATATTTCTTGGTTTATGTACTTTACCCTTATTTGGGTAAAGTACATTGAGAGCCCACACACCATGCCAGTGCCTGGTATTTAGCACCTATAATGCCTGCCTGATACTGTAGTGAGAACACTGGACTGACAAGAGGAAATATAAGTTCTGGTTCTTGTTCTGGCTCTTGCTGTTTGTAGGGGAAACACCACTTAGCCTCTTTGTTGTCCCTTTCCCATCTATCAAATGAAGGTGCTTAACTGGATACTTCTCAGCTCAGTGCCAGCACTACCATTTCATGCATCTTTGATACTGGATTTCAAGGACATGCTCAGCTCCTTTCTTTCTGAGGAAACTTTGAGAGGGATACTTTTCACATTGCGATCTAGCCAAGCAACCACAATAAATAAAAATATTTTGACAATGTAACTAAGATTTCATTTGAATCACATGTGAAATTCCTTGAAGGAGAGAGAACTGGTAAAAAAAAAAACTGGGGGAGTAATTTATCTTAGGTGTTTACCTACTGAATTTGGTTAATGCTTACATCACTCATGAGAGGATCAGCATTGCTCATGAGTTGGCAAAAGAAGGGCCATACACGAGGGTGTCAGGGCCCCTCAAACTGGGGACTGTTGGAAATCTCCAGCCACATAATGGGGTTCACCTGTTGAAAAGAGTATGGACTCTGTGATTGCACAGGACAGTAATATTCTTTAAGAGAGGAAGGCCAAGTTTGAGACTTATCCTGATCTCTGGCAGGCTGTCGTTTTCCATATAGGAAAGCTAGGATGTAGCTCCTGTCAGTTAGAATACAAGTTACATGTGGCCACAATCGGATTCTCTGCCCAGTGACTCCCTCACCACGGGAAGTTGTATTTTGTACTCCAGGGGCCGGGGACTGTCAGCAAGTTCCAGTTGGGTTTCTGGGCACTTTCAAGCCTGTGGACTTATGAGGGGATGACTTCATGTCTTAAAACAACACTGTATATAAAGTGCAAGTTGCAGAAAGACATTGAGGCTCTGGCTAAGGAATCGGATTCTCTGCCCAGTGACTCCCTCACCACGGGAAGTTGTATTTTGTACCCCAGGGGCCGGGGACTGTCAGCAAGTTCCAGTTGGGTTTCTGGGCACTTTCAAGCCTGTGGACTTATGAGGGGATGACTTCATGTCTTAAAACAACACTGTATATAAAGTGCAAGTTGCAGAAAGACACTGAAGCTCTGGCTAAGGAGTGAGTGTTGTGTGTGTGTGTGTGTGTCTGAGTGTATGTGTGTGTGTGTGTGTGTGTGTGTGTGTGTGTGTGTGTGTGTGTTACAAGTCATAGGGACAGATAAAATGGAAAACAAAGGTCAGTCTTACTAGTCTCTGTTTCTGTTTTCTCCCTTCATTTGTGGGAGGCAGTTTCCTCATCAGCTGTTTAGTTAATACGTTGATCTTGTTGTCTCCTGTATTTGCTGACTTTAGTTGGACCTTCTGAAAACATGAAAAAGCCGATCTCTCACAGTGTCTCTGAAAGGAAACAATTTGTGGATATGTTAGCGAAAGTTATTCAGAGAGTAAGCATGTCCTTCCCAATCCCCCTTTTTACTTGTAAGACAGTGTCTGGGTCACATCCATTTCAGAGGCAAGTGAGGAACGACTTTACGTCCCACTTCACCTGGGGCTGAGGAGCCGGAGGGAGCCCACTTTCCCCAGTTCTTCCCAACACCTGAGGTCTGAGTGGTGGGCAGGAGCTTCTGTTTTGTGAGGGAATTTTCTAAAAGTCACACTGACCTGTGGCAGTGTGGTGTGAGTTATGCTGTGGTCTGATTAAGAATCTTTTCATTTGTATTCTGTTTGTCTCTGATTTACATAGAACGTCTAATAGCAGCATCCAATGTTGCCCAACACCTGGCATAGAGCCTTGTTGCTAGTGAGTGTCCAGGAAATACTCATGGAGTCAACAAATGAAGTAAAGGGGTTAAAGCCCCTCCTTTGGGGAAAGGAGGTGGGCACCTACTCATGGTGGCATCGTTCTCATCTAAGATTCAGTACTCTTGCCATAGACCACGCTTGGCTTTTCTAAATCGCTGTTCACACTCCCACGTCAAGTAGGGAAGGCTTCTGCCTGAATTGCCCAGCCAATGGGAGGGAAGAGGGTTTCTCAGGCAGTAAGAGAATAAGTCAAAGTCTCAGAGAACAAAGAAGTGGTGGACAGAATGAAGATTGAAATGTGTCTCTTGATTTAGCCAAACAACTAGTTACCAATGAATAAGTGAAAGTCGTAGAAATCGCACTGACAGTGAAGCCTATTGGAAGAACAAAGTTTATACTGACCTGTCAAAAACATTTTAATGCTGATCTAAGAACATGTATCCAAGTTTCTTCTCTCTTTCAGCCACTGTGTACATATGATGCCACCCTCCTCCCCCAAGCTGCCCTGTCTTCACTTCGCCCATGGGTGTGGAGGCACGGCCGTACAACCAGAAACCCCAGCCTCTGGGTCCCTACAGCACACCTGAGTCTCAATGGACAGTCAGCTGAAAATAGCGGCTGGCCTGCTTTGCATTTTCTAACCCCTCTGCGCACCGGTATGGATGTGTTGATTAATAACATGCACTGAAGACACAACCCCACCGGCTCGCTTTGCATACAGAGCCACAATCTGAGAACTGGCTTATCTGGTTTCCTTCTATCAGAGCTGCTTGCCTCTCATGAGGGCAAGGTAGTGTCCTTCCCATGTTTGCCAAAATGCTTATTTAATAGAAACTATTTATAAATGTTAATTATAGCACTTTTTTTTCCTTGAAAACCACATTCTCTTGTTTGTTGAAGTTTTTTCTTTTTTCTTCTTTTTGACCACAACCGGCTTAACTTACTGGAAAAAATAATATTCATATTTAAAGAGGTAAATTTTCCAGCTGAAACTGAAAACGCTAACTGCTTCATCTGTGCTGATCTGAGAAACCAGCATTTCTCACAGAGGCCCATTTTGCTGAGTTAACATTTACATGTGTGTTGAAAGGAGATCAGATTCCGAAGAAGTAGAAGGGCCCCACCAAACAAGCCCCCCTGAGTCACCATTGCCAGGAGTGGTCTGGACCAGTGATGGCGGCTTTGACAGCCTGGACAGCCGCTCTTGCCGATGGGGCCGGGCTCCCCTTCCTGCCCTTCCTGTGGCGACAGACTACAGGGTTTGGCTCTGTGCTTGCTGCAAGTAGCAGCAGAGCTGTCCTTGGCGATCGTGGCCAGGACTGGGAACTGCTGGATTTGACTCCAGATGCACATCCAAGGCAGCCTTGGAGGAAAAGAGGTGGAAGAGCTGCAATAAGGGTGTGCTCACTGCTAAGAAGGGGTATGAAGAGAGGAATCTTGTCCAGGTAGCCCAGGAGCCCTGCTGCTCACTTGAGGGGTTTCCCGAATGACCTGACGTTCATGTGTGGCACCACCACCTGGGAGCAGGTGCTTGGATGTCCCATGCTGTGCCTTGATGCAGCTAAGTGTGGCTCCCCTCATTCTTTAACACATGAAAACACGTGGGCTCAGTTGTCCTACATGCGTTTTGCAGAACAGAGGGAGCAGTGGGTCAGACACCAGAGTCACGAACCACTCCTGTCCTCAGCCCAGAGCAGTCCAGCAAATGCTGCTTTTGCCAGGAGGTGCGCAAGGCTTTGTCCTTTTACAGTTGAATATTTGAAAATATTTGCCCTCTGACAGCTTATTTTTAACCTACTTACTTTTTTTTTTTTTTTTAAAGAAAGCCCTGACCATTCACACTGGGAAGTTTTACTAATTGGACAAAATAACCTTTGTCCCATACACAAACTAGGTTTAAGTCAGGGTTTCTCAGCGGCAGTACTGGCACCCTGGGCTGCATAATTCTTTGTTGCCAGGGCTGTACACTCTAGAATATTTAGCAGCATCCTGGCCTCTATCTACTTGATGCCAATAGAACCCCCCCTCACACACACACAACTGTGAAAGCCAAACATTTCTCCAGACATTGACAGATGTTCTGTGGGGAAGGGGGAGGTTATCACCAGTTCAGAACCACCAGTAGGATTAGAAAGAAAAAGGAAGATGCCTGGCCAGACCAATTAGAGATCTTAGATAATGAGTACATAGCAATATTTATCTGGAAAATATAGATGGATTTCTTTTCATTAAACTTTTTAATCTTTGTAAGTCTCTTATAGAGCCTGCTTTGATGCTAGCTCTGAAAAACTTGATGTAGCACTACAGTGCCTTGCACTCTCTTCTTCCTTCCTGAGTCTGCTGCCAGCATAGCTTACCGATCTGTTATACCATCACTCACTGGAATCACAGCCAAGGCTGCTTGATCAGATCACCAGATGCATACAGGGTCACCAAGACCAAACCCTCGCTTTATGATGTAAGAGAAAAAGCACTTCTCTTTAACAAAGTTAATGAAGAAAGTACCCACTAGGTCAACTCAAGCCATAAAGTACGATATCTTTCTTATTTATTATTTTGCAAGTTTTAGACTGTAGCACAAAAATTCCAGAAAGAATCATAACCACAGCAGTTCAACAAAGGGTGTGAGATGCTGAAAAATGTTCTATGTTTTTATAATTAAGACATTGATTAAGACATGTTCTTACTTATTGGAAAAGTCTTTCCAATAAACTGAATGTGCTACTTTCATTTTAGATGCTGCTTATTAGAAAAGGGCCTAGTGAATGAGAGTGGTTACGTTCAGAGCTAGAGAGTGAATTTTAGAGAAAAGCAATAGTTGTGACTCATTCACTTTCTAAACTTTTACACAGAGTCATTTACCATAATTGTTTTCTTTGCAATGTATCTTCGTAAGTCTCTCCCACTGTAGTGTCCTAATTACTGGTAACACTTTTACAGTTATTCGAATTTATGCAGTTAAAGGTCCGTGACAATTAAAACATCTCCCCAACTGCATTTATATCCTCAGAGTATCAAACCTCAAGACTGAGCAAGGACCAGTGAGGACGTGGTGCACTTGAACAATAGGCCTCTTCTTCCCCGCACCTAATGGATCTAAATGGCTTAAGAGAATGGGATGAGTTGCTGAAAATGGTCCTTTCAAAAGACCTCACTGAAGGCCAAAGGAGAGACCCTTCAAGGCCAGGTATATGGGAAGTCTATTCTACAGGACGGCCTGTCTTTCTACACTCCATGCTATTCTGTAATCTGTTCTTCTTTCTCTTTCTTTTTTTCTTCCTTTCCTTCCTTTCTCTCTTCCTTCTTTCCTTCCTCCTTTTTTCTTTTCTTTTCTTTTCTCAATTCTCTCTCTCTCTCTCTCTCTCTCTCTCTCTCTCTCTCTCTTTCTTTCTTTCTTTCTTTCTTTCTTGTTATTAAGAGGTGAATTCTGCTTCTTATGGTGTCTATCTGTATTTCTTAGACAGGTTTACAAAAGGGCTCAAGAACTTTCATGCACAAGGGCTCTTACAGTGTAATTAGTGAGTCATTATTCAGAAACTGATCATAGCATATATTTATTTTCATAGATTTATTCTGTCTCACCAGTACTACTTAGATGTGCTCTTAGAGATATTTGGAGAAAAAATATATTTTATAAGATATATAGCATTTTATTGGTTGGCTTGTTGGTAAATTAATGAAAATAGAAAACACTATTTTATAAATTATTAAACCTTCAAATTCATTGAAATTAACTATATTCCTAAACAATCATGCTAGTGCCTTTCTTAATTGGATTTAAAAACTTCTATCAAACATAACTTCACAAATTCAACTGGTCTTACCTTTACATCTTCTGGAGCTGGCAGAAATTCAGGGTCCTAGAGCAAAAGAAAATGAGTTCTGAGTTATTTTGATAAGTCAAAAAGCTTCTTTTATAGTAACTGAAGAATATGATTTAAATTTTGTTGTGACAAGTGCAGCCTTACCAAGTCATTCACATAATTTTTCAGCTGATCCACAATATCAATAAGTTGACGCAGTCTGATCAAGAGGCGATCTTGCCCTTGGAGGCTGGATCGACGGGCCACCACCCCTGAGAAGATGACCATCAGGCAGAAGACTACCCACTGCATGTTGCCAGGACTGGGTCTCAGAAGCGCCAGGAGGGCAAGACCTGGGTCTCAGTTTTCACCTCCGTTTGACTGTGAACAGGTTGTCAGTGGAGCTGCGTATTTATTCATCCTTCAGGGAGAGCTAACGCCCTCCCATCGCAACCTGGAAATCTTTGTAAAGTGGATGAATGTGAGTAACCCTTTTTCTTTTCCACTGGCTAGGTGTGCGTGTGCATGTGCGTACACGTGGGGGCAGGGATGGACGGACTCCACGAGTGTGCTCCATCTGCACCTCAGACAGGAAAAGAGAGATGGGTGAATTCCAACTTTCAGCATGAGTCGAAAAGTGTGCATGGTAAACAGTCGGTGCTACCAAACATCAAAGGAATAAACAAAAACACTTTGATCTCTCTCTCTGCCTCCCCTGGCCTCTTACCTGGTCTCTCTGACAGTCATAAGGCACTTCAGTAATGACTAAGGTGGCTGCCCGTGGAAAGCAGGACTTTTTCTTAGGGTAATAATTATGCCTCTTGACTGAAATCACACAGCATTCCATCATAAAGGTAGGAGGAGAGCTACCTTTAGGAAATTTTAAATATCAGGGGTATTTTCCAAATTAGCAAGAATACTTCAGGTTTTTTATCAGGCTAAAGGGTTTAAAGTAGAATTTGCTTCCAACTCTTCCCCAAAGCATCTTCAAATAACATTCATCTCGGCTTCTAGGATTTTACTTAATCTGATTTATACGTGGAATAAATTATTTTAAGGGACTGTACAGAAATTCAATCAAAATTTTACTCTAATTTTATTTTTAAAAATAGTCTCATGTTCATCTATTCTGTATAATTCTTCAATTCAATGAATGAAAGTGCTAGTACTCCTGTCCCAACCAAGATTTGTTTTTACAAAGAGCAAAATTTAAAAATACCCCCAAATGATTCTTTTTTCTCTTTGTGTGGTGCTACTTTTTTCTGTTAGATATTATTTCCTCTGGTATGAACAGTACACTTCGAACTATAACCAGCTAGAGGTGAATAAAAGACTCAAAGTCCAGGAGTGGTTTGGTCAGGCTCCTCTCGCTGCTGCTCTTGTCCCTGCTACTCTTTGCACTCGAGGAGGTTAAATAGAATATTATAACCCAAAAGTAGTGCCAGTCAGTTAGGTCTTACGAACAAAACTGTTGACTCCAGACTTTATTTATTCCTCTATCTCATTTTATGTTCACAGCCATACTTTGTTCTAGAATGCTATGCAGCTGAGATAAATTGGAGTTTGGACTTGGTTTACTTTTATCACAGGCTGTTCAGGAGTGTTTGGGTTTGGTCATGCAGAGTAGATAAGACTTTGTACTGTATGAACAAGAAGGCCTCCCCGTAACCATTACATTCTATAGGGGAGGGTTCTGTGTAAACCTCTGAAATGCGTAGCGACCAGGGGTTACCGCTGGGTACCTCCACGCTGCCTTCATCATCTCTGCACATGCTTCCCTTATCTGGCAAAGAGATGTGTGTCGTCTTGAAGACCTAACCACAGTGGTTAGGAGCTCATCTTCTAAGTCAAAGTGCTAGAGTTCAAGCCCCGACCCTGACAGTTAATAGCACATATGACCCTGGGTATATTCTTGCAAAAAGAAGATAAGTGTAGACTGTAATCATAGGGTGGTGGTGAGGCCTAAATGGACATTCCAAGTTCAAGGACTAAAGTACAGCCCGTGATCAGGTCCCAGGAGATCTGTGTGCTGGTCAGGGATGAGGGTTAGAGGATAATTGACAGAAGCCTAGATAGACAGGCCAGGACAGGTTGGTATTCAGGCGGAGCACACGGGTGCGGCTGTACTGCTTGGAAAAGGTTTCCACTGCCTAGAGAGATACTCCTCCCCACTCTGCAGTGCCTCAGCACTGCCCGAGACACCCAGTCGACCCTCTCACTTCCCAGCATGTTGGGATTGCCAGGATCCTACACAATCCCAGACTTTTCCAAGAATCAGACACGCTGCCTTAAGTGGCCTGTCAGTTGTTGAGCACCTGGATTATCATCACCGGTGTAATGGCCTGAACAGTGGCACTTAAAGGCGTCCATGTCCTAATTCCTGGACCTCTGACTCTTGATACCTTCATGGTCACAGGTGTGATTAAATTGCAGATTCTGCGATGGGAGAGTACCCTGGGTTGTCCAGGTGGCCCAGTGTGATCAGAAGAGGAATGCCGGAAGATCAGCATCTGAGGAGGTATGACGACAGCAGAGGGCACAGTGACGCGGCTGGAAGGCAGGGAACAGGGCAGCCGGGAAGCTGGGGAAATGAGCTCTCCCGCAGAAGAGTCCCTGCACCGGGAGTCAGTCTTGCCAACACCTGGCTGTGAGCCCCAGAAAGCCTCGCTTGGACTTCTGGCCTCCAGAACTATCAAAGAGTAAATCTGTGTTGTTTTAAATCACCGGTTTTGTGGTAATTTGTTACAGGCAATAGGAATGTAGTACCCTTAGGTATGAACTTTTTACTCTTGGAAAAAGGGTGGGAGAGAGCAGGGGGGATAAGGAGGATGTCTCCTTAGAGCTCAACAGGCTTTGCTCAGGACTGGTGGTATGCTTCAAAAGGATGGAGCCCAACTTGCATTTTGCTTGAATTTATCACTGTGTTGAGATGGATCTTCGAGTGGAAAGAAGGGGGCTCAGGTTTATCTGAGTCGTATGTTCTCCACTTAGTAATATTAACCTTATTATTACATTCACAGCATCATCACATTGTGGTCTTATTCGTTTTTTACTTTTTAAATCAGAACAATTTTAATTATCTAGATTCAGTCAGTTCTGCCATAATGCTTGTATTGAAGATGAGAATTTATTTCAACATGATCATGACCAGGGAAAAGTTTGGGTACAAGAATTTTGGGTTTGCTTCTGCATAGTTTCTCTTGCAAGAAACTCGAGGTAAATGCAGAACCCGCATCCGGCTGACCCAGCATGAGGGTGCACAAAACACCCACATGCCTCAAACACCCACCGACCTCCCCTGTCACCGCGTGTGCGACGAGCCACAGCCGTCCACATCTGGTAGCACACGCTTCCCCCAAGGACCCTCATGTGCCATTTCCCAGTAGCTCACAAGCTGCAACCCTTCCAACATTCAGTTTCCTGAGCCAACTTCAGGTCTTGTTCTAGATAAAGGGCCATATTTATTGTAGTACTTATGTGTTGCTTAATCATTTGCTGTATAAAATAGCTGTCTTTTTTTTAGTAGATTCCTATCATCTCCCCCCCCACCACACACACATCATCCTTTTTATGTGTGTTTGAGTGAGGGGCCTCCGTCCCATTTCCCCCATAAGCTCTGTGGCCGTTATGGTGCAATTTTGTGCAGTGCAGTGATTGTTAGAAAAGTATGTCTCATGAGAGCAAAAGCCACTGACTTTTGTCTGGAAGTGGTCACACTTACGCCTGAACAGTGACCCGCTATATCCAGGTAAAGAGCAAGGCTAGGATAAAGGATTTATTCTTAAGGATGGGGGAAGGGAGAGGGAATAAAAAACAATTTCTTTCCTATTTTTACACACGGGCCACCCGAGCTCAGATATTTCCAACCCCTGTGCTCTTTGCTTCCTCAGCATGTGCACCTCTGTGCAGAGCCAGCAGCCCAGGCCGTTACAAGGGCCCCCGAGGGGCAGCTGTCTGATGGAAGCACACTGCTCATGCTCGGCTTCTGTGTTACTTGGGTATCTTGGAGCGAGGTGGTGGGTCTGCTGTCTGCATTCTTTTCTGGATTAGAACGCAGGTCATCACCACGAAAGCAGAACACTTTAGTCACCTGTTTCATGGACATATTTCAAGCACTTTCTCTAATGGACTGTGCTACAGACCAGCAGGAATGGGCCAGGGGACTGGAGGGCAGCCTGGAGAGCAGGGAGAGGAGCTGACGTCTGAACGTGAATGCTGCTACTTCGCAGATTTGCATGGGGAGAGCTGGGCCATGTCTGAAACTGTGCTGGATACTAACTGTGCCAAACTCCCTTTCCCTGACTTCACGGCTCTTCCGGGGACCCCTGCGTGTCATATACTTCATTTCTGTTCTCACTCGCTTTGGCCCTCATGGGTAGAAATAGGTGCTCTGTATGGCAAACTCTGGGAAGAGAGGCCTCCAGTGTCTAGAGCAGTGGTTCTCAACCTGTGGGTCGTGACACCTTTGGGGGTCAAACGCCCCTTTCACAGGGGTCGCCTAAGACCATCGGAAAACACATATATAATTACATATTGTTTTTGTGATTAATCACTGTGCTTTAATTATGTTCAATTTGTAACAATGAAAATGCATCCTGCATATCAGATATTTACATTACGATTCCTAACAGTAGCAAAATTACAGTTATGAAGTAGCAATGAAAATAATCTTATGGTTGGGGGTCACCTCAACATGAGGAACTGTATTAAAGGGCCGCGGCATTAGGAAGGTTGAGAACCACTGCCCTAGAGTGATATTAAGTTATTATAATATGTACCCTCCTGTGTACCAAAGGCATTCAGACAGGTGGCTTGTCTCTAGGCAACTGTGACACTCACCAGTGAGGCTAGAGATTAGATGTCCTTTATTCCATGACCAGCAGGCACAGGGGATGGAGGAAAAGAACGGGAAGATCCATAGTGTTCCACCAGGTTCCCCCTGACCCCTTTCCCCGAGAAGGGACAGGTTCCACCTGCCTCCCCCAGCCTCCTGTCCAGGATTAACCACCAAAGAAATCCTATTCCCTCTGGACAGGCCCGCACCTGGGCGATGGGTGGCTGTAAACATCTTCAATCTTGGCCCTGCAGCCCCCAACCCTCGGTCATAAAAATAAGTGCAGTGCTGGCCTTTGCTGTGTCCCCTTCCTGAGGTGTCTGCTGAGTTCCTTGTCAGTAGCAGCCCCCGCGTTCTCCCAGGGCAGCAGCGCGATCGCAGGGAGACTGTCAGCCGGATGTGCCCCTCATTCTGGACATTTCCTTCTGTTTCCAGGAATGAGGATCATTTTTGTAAAATTACTACTTTTCATTTTTATATTTATAAAAGTTATGTGTCATAAAACAAGGAATTCAAAGAACATATCATTGTATAAAATAAAAATAAAAAGTACTCCCTTTTCCTCCCTAATTTTCACTCCCTGGGGACACTCCTGAGAGTTTACTTTGTGTTATTCTAGACTTTCTTCCTATGTACATAGGACCATATAGAGCAGTGGTTCTCAACCTTCTGGCCCTTTAAATACAGTTCCTCATGTTGTGACCCAACCATAAAATTATTTTTGTTGCTACTTCATAACTGTAATGTTGCTACTGTTATGAATCATAATGTAAATATCTGATATGCAGGATGGTCTTAGGCAACCCCTGTGAAAGGGTCATTCGACTGCCAAAGGGGTCGCGACCTACAGGTTGAGAACCGCTGATATAGAGGAATATATGTAGATAGAGATGGAAGGAAATAGAATTATATATGGAGATAAAGATGTATACAAAAAGCCATATTAGAGATAATAGACATAGAAAACTGTGGGTTTTTTACATAAAAATTAATCTTACTGTACATATTCTCTCCTTTTTCACTCAACAATATGTCAGGGACAGCCGTTCACACAGTAGTCAGACATGGGGCTGTTGCATGTAAATAGCTGGATTAATATGCCAGTGTAAGGCTGTCCTACTGACTGACATTTAGTCTCTTTCCACTTCTTATCTCCTACAAACACTGCTGCAGCGAGCATCCCACACATCTATACTTTAAGCACACGGGAAATATATTCCTTTTAGATACACAGCCCCTACTTCATTTCCTAAGTGGAAGATCATATCCTTTTGAACATTTGATAGAAGCTGCCCAACTGCCTTCCAGCATTCCTACCAGTCTGTGCTCCTACCAACAGAGTTATCTTTGACCATCTATTGGGTTGTTTCCAATTTACTTGTAAGGGCTCGTATTCTATTAACGATATGTTAAACACATTAAAATTATTTTCTCTGGGGCGTCTTATATCATACAGAGATTTTACATTTTTATGTTATTGTGTCTGAGAATCTTGTTTTATAGCATGAACTCCTGTTTAATATAAAAAATGTTTCACCTTCCATAATAGTAAATGGTAGAAATCAGTTTAGCATTCCTCTTACTTG